GTTGGTTTTTGGTATAGTTATCTTCAAAATACAAATTGTTATCCATTAAAAAACTTTATATTTCATCTTTCCTAGAATTTTCATTCGATACTTTGATGAGCTGTCGCGAATGATAGGAAACGTTGTCAAGAACTATTTGATGTTTTCTTTATTGATTTTATTAGATGAACATCTAAACGTTTTGGTAATCCTGTATCACATCGTATCTTGCGTTCATGAGGTTTGTTTTTGACTATTTTACGTACAGTTGAGAAAGGGATTCAGGTCAAATCTGATGTTGCTTGTAATAGTTTGTTTCCCTCGAAACCAAACTTGAGATGTAGATTCTTATATACATTGAAACATACTCTCTGTGTTTCAATACTCAAATGCATCCGAATCTTATTCACTTGTATCTCTTTTTCGCATTGTTCACCATCGCTATTGGAATCACTGCACTGGAATAAGTTTGCGTTGTTATCACACTCAACTATTAGTACTTGTTCAAGGACGCCACATTTCAAACAGATAACAAAATTTTAAGTGATTATAACTGCACCAATATCGAATTTCAACATTCAAATCGCGATCAGTTCCTGAACTGAACATTGACGACACGACGGCGATAACCATCCCCGCATTCTATTCGTCACGGTAACATGACTTCAAATTCAATTTTATGACTCTTCAGCCAATCATAAAACTCGGTTTGTAAAAATTACTCAAAACGGACAGCCAAGTCTACAGCCCACGCGGACTAGTTTCCTGCCGGTTCATTTCTATGTATTGGTTTTTTTGGCTTTTGAGAGTGCCGACAACTTTAACAGTGCACAATATCGTTTACTTCGACTATACAATGAATGTCTAACGTTGCGGATTTCGTTGTGAAAAAATAGAGAAACCCATTTTATCAGAGAAATAAAGCTTTTCACAAAATATTCTGTTGACACTATCGTATTCAGCAGCAGTTTGTAATGTTTATTGTTCGACAGCATGTTCGCAAGTATAAACAATTGCTGAGCCTGTCAGTAGAAGAATAAATTATTTTAATAGGTGATTGGTCATACATGGAGAGTTAAAGGCGCGCGATAGAAATAATAATTAAAGCATAACCAACGACTTGATTGTTTTTCTTGTTTAGTCATGGACTACCGATAGACAATTAATTTGTCCCTAAGATTATGAATACTCTGATCGTTACTTGATGAAAATCAATAACAACGACCGTCTCGTGAACAAAGCCCCAAATGAGAAAGAAACATCCCATTTATCAGTTCTCTAACAGAAATCAAAATAAGTTTGAATACCCAATGGGGGAGTGGTACATAAGTACAATAAAATAAATATTTCGAAATAAAATCTCCCAATAGTCATGTCACCCTACTACCTACACCGTTGGATATGGTAAACGCCTGACGGAAAACAACTACTTTCCCGGCTAATACCACACTGGATATAATTATTATCATGGATACTTTTCCTAAGATATCAAATATTTATAGAATGTTATTGAGTAACAAATATTTAAGGCACTGATTTTGAAAAAGTATAAAGAATTTTTGGTTGTTTTGCAGCACGAAATCGTTATGAATAAACATAAAAACTCGATAAATTGATAGATGTAGCCGTTACTACGTGGTAGGAGTTCATCATGGAAAATGAGAATTAAAACTTTCTATGTTCTTATACAACTTGTATTTGAAACTAACGTTACTGCAGTTTCATAGAAGGACACTCAAACGAATACAATAAAATGTATTGTGTATAAAAAAATGCAGTTTCCTTTAAACGAGATTCCCATAAAATTTCAGCACATGATTTCACGATTTAATGCAGTTATATAACTATCCACTTTGATTGATCTTACGTCAAGTAGATAAGCACTGACATAAATAACGACTAATATAAATGTAATACAACAAGCAGTATCATCCATTTTGATCTAAATGATTCAGATAACCATAATAAAATTCATTGAGATATAATATCACCTGATCTTAGCGTTGACAAATTGATTGAATACTTATTGAATTTTAAAATATTTCGTAAATAATCAGAACAAGACAATTTCATAATAAATGATTTGGCATCTCAAATTATACATTTCCTACATTGCCTTTTGGACTCTACAATCCACCTGTAACTCGACACAGACTCATGGATTGTAACGAACACAATATTTTTTCTTTTTTAACAAAAGTTTAACCTAAAAGTTTTTTTCTATAATTGCAAAATTTTGTAGCGTATCATTCTTGTGTATTGAATCTGTTTCAATTCTATAATAATTCTATACAGAATGTTTGGAATATAAACCAAATGAGCAAAATTGTTTTCTATATAATCCAATATTGTATCTGAAAAAAAACTTGTGTTCAAGTTCTATAGATCTTTGTGAAGAGTTTTTAATTTCTTTCTTGGGAAATTTCCCACTCTTTATGTAATGAGGGAGAAAGAGAAGGCCATACGGTTTTTTCCCATACGTTGCATAATGTTTCCAAAGAAAAACCATTTTCAAACAATATAGTAGTGGCACAATAGTAGTGTCCAAAATTCTTCACCATAGGTCAAATATTTCCACCAGGTGCCTTCCCTATACTTACCTACCATTAAAATAGGCACCAATAGACCTGAAGAGAATAGTTCAAACAGTAAATGTCCAAAACTCTTTACCGTAGTTCAAATATTTCCACCGGGTGCCTTCCCTATTCTTATCTACCATTAAAATAGACACCAATAGACCTTAGGTGGATGGTTCAAACAGTAAATATCTTTACCATAGTTCAAATATTTCCATCAGCTACCTCCCCTATACTTATCTACCATTAAAATAGACACCAATAGAGAACATCCATTTTGGAAACCCTGAAGCCATCAAAACGGCAAATCAAACTCGATTCATTTTCCACACTCTACTCACCAATTCCAACGGTCTGTACCAGCGCTTGGGTTCCGAAATAGGTGAAAGGTCCTCCTTCGAACATGAGGTTCTCCTTGCCTACCGTAACCTCAACTCTACCCTCCAAAATGATGACGAAGAAGTCGACAGCCTTGCCCTGGTCATAGATCACGTTGGCAGGATCAGTACGCCATTCCTTGCTCTTCTTAATGTGCACCACTATGTCCTGCTTGAGAAGACGCCGAAGGATAGTCTCGGAGATCACGTTGGGGTGGAAGGGCTCGACACCTGAGGAATGACGTTGGTTGAGCAAGGCGTGGTTCTAACGAGTCAAGAAACTTAGTACTCACTTGTGCTGAGATATTGGTAGGCGGCGAGGGTCAGCTGAGGGCTGATTCTCATCATCTTGCTCGGCTCACGTTGTTTCTCAGCGAAGACGGTGAAATCTTGTCTTCTCTCAGCGTGTCTCTTCCTTTTGGAGCGGTTGTCAGCTGGAAAATGTAACTGGTGAAGTTACCGCATAGACATTAAAGAAGCAAACTCACTGAAAACGTCAGTTTCGTCCATGATCTCGGCCTGGATCAGCTCCTCGATGACGTCTTCGAGGGTTATCAACCCTATGGTTTCGTAGAAGGGGTCTCCCTCTCCTTCGTTATTCACTCTGTGGACAAAGGCCATGTGACCCTTGTTGCCTTCTTTGAAGATCTTGAACATGACGTCCAGAGTCACGTCCTCGAATACGAAGTTGCATGGGTTCTGGTAGAACTGGCACAACGTCTTCAATGGGGTATGGTCGTCGGGATCCACGAAAGCCAAGTCTACGAAGATTATAACAGAAGAGTAGTTGATTAAATGGTCGAATATGTAACAGTAAGCGATCGACAGGACAAAAGGTAATTCAAAACACATTTTAACTGATATTAGCTAAAAATATGGGTCACATATTCCTATGGCTTCCTCCATATCATGTATACTTGATCCTATAAAATACATGTGGAAGTGAAATGCATAAATCGATGGGAAAACGTATCATAGACATTATAAATTCGGTGACAACATTTCAAATTCAATTTGTTTTGCCCATTTGTATTAAGTGTAAATTATCATATTGTGTACTATTTCTACTGTTTATTATGTTGCGTGTTGCGGTGGAAGGTCAATGAATTAATCACGAAATAAAGCAACCACCAGATACAGGAAAGTATAACTTGTGTTGATGGAATGCCAAAAAAAAAAGTGTGACACCATTGTCTGAAAGAAATTATTGTAGTTAGCCTCAACTCAATTAGTATCATAATATGTATTTTTTGTATCAATTAATCGATGTGTAAAAATTCTTGATCTTGACATCGGCCATAATTTCAGCTTCTTCTTGAACAGGAATAATGAGTTTAGTTGTTTCAATTCAACTGGCAGATCGTTATATATTCAAAAAAAATGGGCGAAGCGCATGAAAATTGATGAAAAAATAATGGCAACATTCAACATCTAGCAAAAATTACTATCAATATTCGATGACATTTTCAATAATATTTTTGTACAGATATAACTTGGAAACAACCATTTCATCATAAAAGTGTTTATTTCTCTGCGGCGTTATGTAATATGATTGATTTGACGTTGGTTTATTTACACTTTCATCAATTCAATTTAATTTCGTATTTATCGAAACGTACTTTTTGGTAATGTACTTATTTACAGGTTTTGCAGTGGAAAATGCCGCTTTTCAATCGAAAATATAACTCCCACATTCCCATTTCAATTATCTTTGTTACCTCTCATACCCTGGCGTTGATTTCCAACCAGTGGCGTGTATAAGGAGCCCACCCTTCCCCCTAAATTTTCTAGCAAGAGGTATTAATACATCCCAGGTTGATTACCAAAAAAAAAAATGCACATTTTCTACATTGTTGTCCTGATATGAATCCTGTGGATTTTTATTCATGTGTATATCCTTAGAAGAAATACGGTTTTCTGAAGCTCTAAACAAAATTTAATATACGCTACTGCTACTGAAATTATTTCTTGACTCTCAGTTGAACATATTACAACAAATGCCAAACATTTTTACGGATTGCCATTTGGACTCAATAATGGACCATCTTTCTTCCATAAACTCATGGACTCATTTCTAGAAAAAGATCAGTTGAAGTATCAGAATGACATACCCTTGATGTACAGCATGGTAACGATATTTTGACGATTTCCTTCAAAAACAGGTATCCGCGAAAACCCGCTCTTCATGATTTCCGATACAGTGTCGAAATCCAACACGGCTTCGTAGTCAAGCATAAAGACGTCTTCTATCTTCGTCATAACCTCGGACACTGTCTTCTTGCGCAATTCCAAGGCTCCGCTGATGATATTAACCTCGTCTTTGTCCAGGTCATTTTCTCCTGTGGTTACCTGGAATAAACAGTTGAAGATGAATGGAAATTTTCCATTAGGTTCATTAATTTGTTAAATAACTGGTTTAGTGATTCAACAAAATGCAATTGGGTTTCTGCCAACGTTTCGAAATAATTAAAAATTTTCAGTACTCTGTAACAATGAATTTTCATAAACATAACTCTCACGAATGGAAATACAGTTGGAAACTATTTTTTGTCGAAACAAACAATTGAAACACTGTAAGACATGTAATCCAACATAATTTACAAATTGAACTGTGTAAGCTGTCCCAAATGATATGTTGGTCAAACCGGACGATATTTCAAAACACGAGTTTCAGAACACATGAGACTCTGATATACTTATAGTCAAACACGATATTGTTAACAATAGAAGGGATGACGATGGTCTCAAGACAGCATAATTCAATCGAATTAGTAAAATACCTAAATAATTCCCCTTGTTTCATTCTCATCGTGAAACAGACTTCATCAATATCGTAGCTGAAGCCATTCGTTTGTTTCATGTCTTTGTGTAATGTTATTGTCTACTTTAGTGTGGTTCATTTTTATCATGTATCTAATATGTCTGATGTTTCTGAAATAGTTATATTTTCAACATGAAGAAACTCCTTTCCGGCGAGTGATTCAATCAAGAATTATCGATTCCTCGTAAAATTGAAATGTGGGGGGGGGGAGTATGTTCATGAAAATTCATTGCTACAGAGGCCTCAAGAAGAATTTGATTCAATTCGAAAAGTTGTCAAGAAAACAATTGTATTTTCAAGAAAAATGGATCCTGTTATACCCAAATGATTTAAAAAAAAATTAATTTGTTGGCTTATGATTTCAAAATTGGTATATAATAAATATACGAAGAATATGACTGGCCTCAGCACCGTTCCTTGGGATACACCTCGCATTACGGTTTGCTCCCCGCTGAGTTTATCACTTATCAAATGTTTAATCTTCTAAAATTACAATAAAATGATATTTCTCCATTCAAAAATTATATAAAGGGTATTTCAACTGGTACTTATGAAAAAAAATGTTTGGCTTTCTATTTCCATTAATTTTTTTCCCAGATAGCGCCCAGTCGCCATCTTGAAAGTTTCATCTGTCAATTTCACTTCAAAATAAAGTATTCATGCATTAATTTCATTATCCCAAATTTCAATTTTTTGAGTTGAGCCGTTCAAAAAATAAAAGGGGGGGCATTAAAGAAATGCACTGCATAAAAAATATTGTTTTCGAAATATTAACCTCTTTCAGCTATCATTTATACAGGAATTCGGCGAAAAGAACGTCATAAATAGACTACTTTCCTCCCTGGTGTATGACGGATATTGAATTATATCCGACACATGTCCTCGAAGTCGAAATATCCAAATTGAAAATTTGATATTTCGAAGAATCAAAAATATATTCGGAAAACTCAAAAAGCATTATGATTCCGTGAAAAATCATACTGTGGCATAGTTTTCTATTTCATATTCAAATCTATGAGCTAGCTGGCAACTGTGCAAATTGATTATTGTAACGTAGCTCGTGCTAACACAAGGCTGCTGTTTCATAACTATCATCGACAGTATATACTTTGTTAATTGGTTATAAATATTCTGTATACCATAAGCGAAGACGAATGTATTTCCTCTGATCCGTAATAATAAACGAGAACGGAATTTAACGAAAAATATTTACATTCATTATTATTGAAATCACTATAAGGCATCGGTGTTTATTTGGTTTCATATTTCAATTACTATAATGAAAAATTTGAGACGGCTAAAACTGCCAAACATCTTTAACAAACATCCTAACAAAACTGTTGAAATTTCATGATACTCAAAAAAATGTTAGATATTGTGCTAAGAGAGACACTAATATTATTGTGATATTTAAAAAAAACACATAGTTACTTTTATCATAGAACAAAGTATTGAAAAAAAAATTTGTTTATAACAATTTTTTTAAATAAACAATTGAAAAAAGAATAAAAAAAGTTTTTTCAAAACCTTAAAATTTTTTTTCACTTAATTGTTTATAACTTTTGTAATTTTTATCGGCGCGTTTTCGGACCTTTCCTTAAACTTTCTACGCAAAAATACGAATCGAATGACACCTTGGTCGTAATTTTTTGACAAGGTTGAAAAATGTTACAAAAAAAAGTACATGTGAACTAGACTAGATCGTTTGGTCTGACTCATGGAGTGCAGTCGGCAACCGCCGGTTAAACTCCAGTTGAGTACCGAAACAACTAGATAATTCTAGAACGATCGTTACCGATATATAAGGTCGGCTTCTCGTCCTAAGAGGGAGTGGAGTTCAGAAAGTGAATCGAGCGGTTAAACAAGGAATTCAAATAGTGGAAATGAATCAATCGTTAGTTGCTAAGTGTTGTAAATAATTTAGTTTGTGATAGTGAAATATTGTTGGAAATAAATGTGTTTGAAAGACAGTTAATTCTTTAATTTGTTACAATATAAAACTTCTTTGTCCACTTCTACCTATTTGAGTCGTTTCTATCAGAACAATGAATATTATTACACGTAATTTCTTCATGAAATAGATTCGCGAGGACGTTTCAATAAACCTCTGAAAAAAAATTGATAGCAATGGCGGAAATGAACATCCGCAACAATTACTTCGATAAAGCGAACCGCACGATGGATGGAAGAGTGCGTGTTGTCTGCAAAACATCATCATTAATAATTTTTCATTCGATACCGATGGCTATTTTTAAACCGAATCGTTCTTTGCAAAACAAACGCGGCAGCGGCTGCTCAGGTGTAAGATATTTCATAACGAAAACTTGTTTGTGTCGATAACTGAAGAGCACGCTGATTACCGGATATTCAGAACGTACAGGGTGTTAAAATGAAAATAGGGAAAATACAACCGGATTAAAAAAACAAGCTGACATCAGACACATCCAAAAAACCTTAGGTTTAATGATTGATTTGTTGCTGGTATCTTCTTAGCAAGACTGTTTTTGACAGATCACGGGTGAATTGTGTCATGTGTCATTGTCAAACTTGTTCAGTTTGGTCTATAATTTAACCATGAATCGACTTACAAATAAACAACGCTTGCAAATTATTGAGTTTTATTATCAAAAATAATGCTCCGTGAAGAAAGTGCATCGTGCACTTCTTCCAAATTATGGTCAGTTTCGTCGGCCTACTGAGGGAGCTATTAGGAAACTTGTGACCAAATTTCGAGCTCAATTCACATTATTGGACATTAAACCACCAACACTCATACGTAGAGTGAGGACCGAAGAAAATATTGCGGCTGTATTCGCCAGTGTTCGTGGTGACCGTGAAATGTCGATTCGCCGCCGTTCGCAGGAATTGGGCCTCTGCGAACGGATTTGGGTGTAAAACCTTATAAGATATATCTGGCGCAAGAATTGAAGCCACACGATCACCCACAACGTCTAACATGACACAAAATAATTCGAAGAACTGTAAGGTGAATATTGTTGACAATAGTACACTTAAATCTTTTACAAGTGTCAAACTGTAATATCATTTCCATGGAAACTAAGATTTAAATTGAAATATTAGATCTTAGCTTTAGTTAATTTATTTATTGTTGCACTATATCGTTTACTTTATATTATTATTATTACTATTACTTGAACTATACCCAACAGGTATAAAAATATGTGGTATCTACCATTCCCTCCAGTAAATTTTACTACTGAAACACATAAACAATCCACTTTGATCCTCTTGTTATATAAATAGCCATGAGCGTAGGAGAATAAAGTATCATATTTAGGTTCATCATTTCGTGTCGGCCTCCCAATTATCTTTAATCTCTTGTGAATCGAATTGCCGCGTTGACTCAATTTGGAGAGGGAACGTGCCGGAAAACAGTTTAATTTCATTAATCACTCGTTTGACACTTCTTGGTAATTCAATCGAATACATTTTCGTTCTTTTCGATGTTTTCTGTATAGTGGGGCATTCTTAAAAATTCGAAAGAGGGGGAGAGTTCAAGAAATTTGAAATTCAAAATTCTCGAAGGCTCATTTGTTCCACGTGAAAACTGGAAATGAAATAGAAAATTCAATGTAATTGTGTGTGTTTTTTTTAATAGCTTTAATTGTTCTCCAAAAATGCGACAGATTTTTAATTGATTCTTTCATAGCAATTTCTACGTTCGCTTATTTTAGAGTTACAATTATAAATAATTATTATGAATAGGCTGGCCCGTTACTCGATGAAAATTAAAAACACTATTCATGATGATAATTAAACAATATCCATTTTTTTTATAAATGCGTTTTGATAACACCGTAGCTTTCTCGGTAGAAATACAATTTCTACAATGGGGAATGTTCCTCAATTTGCCACATAAACAACAGTTGTTTTGTTATTGACTTATATAGAGGAAGATAGGTTAGGTGCACAAAATGTCATATGTCACAGAATGTCTCGGAACTCGGAACATAAGTAAACAGAACAGCACGCCTCTGAAATATGTCATCTTTGTTTGTCTCATACAGGTAACAGATTCATTGTCCTTTACTAGCTATAACCGATGTTGCCAAATGGTGAAATAGAAACGAATCTCTTTAAATGTTGAATGCATTATTTCATTCCTCTTTTTTAAGTATTTAAATAATTTTTTAAAGAAAAAGGTTGAAATGATAAGTTTAAGATGCGTTGTTTTAGAGCTCTTTCATGAAAACTACTTGATTTTCGTCAGAGGAACATTCCCCATTTGTTTTTTTTTTAATAATTTATTTGGTAATATAACTGGAGAAAAACTGCCCTGATGGATTGAAAATATTATTATTACCTCCCCCCCCTATTTTTTTCAATGGCCTTGGGGTAGAACGATACTTCATTTTCAAGGTATTTTGTCCCTCTATTACTTCTGTATTTTTTTTTCGAAATTGGTTTTTTCGTTATTGAGAAATTAAACGTTGAACGTTTTAAGAAAAAACAGAAAATTCGTTGTCGCTCATTTTATTGAGGAAATCTACAAATGTAATATCGATGG